TAGAAGAACATAATTTGTTGGGCAAAAGTCAACATGGTTTCTATAAAGGGAAATTCTTGTCTTACTAATCTATTAGAGTTCTTTGAAGGGGTCAACAAACATGTGGACAAGGGAGATCCAGTAGATAGAGTGTACTTAGATTTCCAGCAAGCGTTTGACAAGGTCCCTCACCAAAGGCTCTTACGTGAATTAAGTTGTCATGGGACTCATCCTATTCAGCTTACTCATAAATGATCTGGAGAAAGGGATAAATAGTGAGATGGCAAAGTTTGCAGACAACACTAAACTTCTCAAGGTAGTTAAGACGAAAGCAGACTGTGAAGAACTTCAAAAAGATCTCACCAAAGTGACTGAGCAACAAAATGGCAAATGAAATGTACTGTGGATAAATGTAAAGTAATGTACATTGGAAAAAATAACCCCAACTATACATATAATATGATGGGGGCTAATTTAGCTACAACTAATCAGGAAAGAGATCTTGGAGTCGTCGTGGATAGTTCTCTGAAGATGTCCATGCAGTGTGCAGTGGCAGTCAAAAAAGCAAACAGGATGTTAGGAATAATTAAAAAAGGGATAGAGAATAAGATGGAGAATATTTTATTGCCCTTATATAAATCCATGGTATGCCCACATCTTGAATACTGAGTACAGATGTGGTCTCCTCATCTCAAAAAAGAGATACTGGCATTAGAAAAGGTTCAGAGAAGGGCAACTAAAATGTTTAGGGGTTTGGAACGGGTACCATATGAGGAGAGGTTGAAGGGACTCTTCAGCTTGGAAAAGAGGAGACTATGGGGGGATATGATAGAGGTCTATAAAATCATGAGTGATGTGGAGAAAGTGAATAAGGAAAAGTTATGTACTTGTTCCCATAATATAAGAACTAGGAGCCAACAAATGAAACTAATGGGCAGCAGGCTTAAAACAAATAAAAGGAAGTTCTTCACGCAATGCATAGTCAATCTGTGGAACTCCTTGCCTGAGGAGGTTATGAAGGCTAGGAAATAACAGGGTTTAAAAGAGAACTAGATAACCTCCATGAATTGAAGTCCATAAATGGCGATTAGCCAGTATGGGTAAGGAATGGTGTCCTTAGGCTCTGTTTGTCAGAGGGTGGAGATGGATGGCAGGAGATAGATTGTTTGATCTTTACCTGTTCGATTGTTTGATCTTTACCTGTCTCTCTGAGGACACCAGGCATTGGCCGCTGGGCTGGATGGACCTTTGGTCTGACCCAGTATGGCCATTCTTATGTTCTTATGAAATAATCTCTTTGGCATACTGTCTAGGCAAAGAGGAGTTTAATTAAAAATATCCAGGTATAAAGGTCAATAATCTATTTTTTTCTCTGTAATGAAGTATCACACACTATTTATTATTCATGCTTGAAAACTTGGACTTAATTACTTCTACAAAGATAAAATTTTCTTCAGATAATGATCACCCCTAGTATCATTATCTCATAGATACTAGCCCTCCCCCTCACCCCCCTTCTGTTCTAAATCTGATTTGTCAGTTTTATAATGTGTTCACTTTTTTTTTCATTTTTTTCATTGAATTCCTTTGGTATGTATGGTCGTGCCAATTCTCTTCCAGAATTTGATCTGAGGAAGTGGGTCTGGCCCACGAAAGCTCATCACCTAATAAACCATTTTGTTAGTCTTTAAAGTGCTGCATAGTCCTGCATTTTGTTTCAGCAAGGTCAGACTAACACAGCTACATCTCTATTACTATTCAGTCTCTACTGTTAGTTTTGCCTTTCCAGTTCATAATATCCTGCTTTTGGGTGGTGAGGCTGGTATTCTTGACCTGAGCTGGCTCGCCCACAGGAGGCATGAAAGGAGGTAACTTCCCTGGGGCCCTGTCATTCTGAAGGACCTGGGGCTCCTGACTGCTGGTATTGCAGTGGTGGCAGCTAGTGATCTGGGTCATTTAAATCACTGCCAGAGCCCCTGAACAGTGCACTCTGGTGCTGACCAGGAGCGGCTCGAGGAGAGTTGCCGGCAACTGGAACCTTAGGCAGAATGTGCGATCGGCACCCCCGCCTCCATAGCCCTCAATGGCGTGATGTTGTCATTGGGCGCTTTGTTAAATGCGGCTCCCTAGGCAACTGCCGAGGTTGCCTACTTCCACGGGCCGCCCCTGGTGCTGAGGGAACTGTCCCCTGCCGTGCTTATGAGCCTGGTGAGTCTGTTGGCTGCACTGGGCCTGAGCGTATGACTGGAAGAACTGAATGAGGAGAGGAGAGGAGAGGAGAGGCGGCAGGATGCTGCCTTTTCTAAGGACTTAGACCAGTGGTCTCCAACGTTTTTACACCCAAGATCACTTTTTAAATGACAAAACAAGCCAAGATCTATCGCCCCACCCCTTCCTTGAAGCCCCGCCCTGCCCTCTCTATTCTCCTCCTCTCCATCACTTGCTATCCCCACCTCTTATACTGCTGCTTTTTCCCCCCAATTCTTCTGTCGGAAGAGGTTTTTCCAATATTTGGCCTGTCTAGACTGGACCAAATGTCAGAAAAAACCCTTCTTTTGGAAGCCCTCTTATTCCTCATGGAAAGAGGAATATAGGGGTTACCGAAAGAGCACGTTTGCTCTTCCACTAAAAAAAGAGGAAGAACAAATGCATCCTGGATGCGGAAGAGTTTTTCTGGGATACCTCTGGAATCCCGGAAAAACTCCTGCAGTCTAGTTGTACTTTCATTCGGTTGAGACCAGATGTGTGGGCTCTGGGGTGGGAATGAGGGGTTTGGGTGTGGGAAGGGGTGAGAGGTTCAAGCTCTGGGAGGGAATTTGGATGCAGGAGGAGGGGATGCTGGCTCAGGGAGGGGGCTGCAGGCTGGAGAGTGTTGCGGTCAGGTGGAGGGTTGGGGTACTGAGCAAGCCACAGGCTTTTTGGGCAGGAGTTTGGGTTGGGGGATGGGAGGGACTCAGGGCAGGGAGGTTAGGAGTATAATGGGCTCAGGACAGATTTTGTGGTGTGTGGATGGTGTAGGAGTGTTGTGACAAAAGACTGAGGATGTGGGGGTGCAGGAGTTTGGCAATGTGAGAGGCTCAGGACAGGGGATTCCAGTGTATGATAGGCTCAAATCTAGAGTCTGGGAGCGGGGATGCAGGAGTGTTATGATGCTGCGGACAGATGATGTTTTGTTGGCCAGGCTTCATTTTTAAATAAAATATAACAAACACAAAAAATTTCAGCATTGTTTTTATTTATGAGAACCTGTGCTGATTCAGGGGTCACTGAAAAGTCAGTTGGGGCCACACAAGTGAGATGCAAAAAAAACCCCTCCTCCAAAGCCTCACTAATGTGGTCCCAACTGTGCTGATGGGAGTAGGGGCCATGGTATTGGGGAAGGGTGTTAGTGGGTGCTGGGGCAGAGGACAGGGTGTCAGTGGAGGCAAGGGACAGGCTACTGGAGTGGGGGCAGGGGCCAGGATGCCAGTGGGAGCAAAGTGCCAGTGGGAATAGGGGGCAGGGTGTTGGCTGGGGCAGGGAATCCTCAGCATGTGCCTTTTCCCCCATCCCCCAGAGGAGGGAAGCTCTGGCAAAAACCTCCTCCTGGGATTCCTCCCCCCTCCCCGGCTTCCCCCTGGGACTCTTACCTCCTCCCCCGCAGAGGAGGGGAGCCCCGGGATTCCTACCTCATCTCCCGTAGAGGAGGGGAGCCCCGGTGCGTGCCTCCCTTCCTCTCTTCCCCCCTCTCCCCAGGATGAAAGCCCTAGTGTGCGCTTCCCCCCGGGACTCCTCCCCTCTCCTTCACAGGGGAGGGGAGCCCCAGCGCGCGCTTCCCCTGGGACTCCTACCTTCTCCCTGGCATGAGCTTCCCCCAGGACTTCTCTCCCCTCCCCAGCACATGCTTCTCCTCCGGACTCCTACCTCCTCCCTTGCAGAGGAGGGGAGCCCCGGTGCATGCTTCCCCTCCCCAGGACAGAAGCCCTAGTGCGTGCTTCCCCTGGGACTCCTTCCCCTCCTCCCCGGCGCGCACTTGCCCTCGGGACTCCTACGTCCTCCCCTGCAGAGGAGGGGAACCCCGGTGTGTGCCTCCGCCCTCCTCTATCCCTCCCCCCTGGAAGCCCAACATGTGCCTTCCTCTGGGACTCCTACCTCCTCCTGGTGCACCACAGAACTGGAGGAGGGGAGCAGGCAGCGCACTTCCAGAAAAACCCGAAAGTTTTTGGATACAGATTGTAAGCCAGAGGGGAGTAGAAGAACATCTCAGTAAGAAACGTCTTGGTCCTCTCCTATCAGATATTTCTTCCCCATGTAAATACATGTAGACTCTGGTCGGATCACCTTTTTGTGGATAAACTGCTTAAATATCATTGGACATATTTTCCAGACCACAGATCATTCTTGTAGCACTTTCCGGAATCCATTTTGGTTTTCAACATCCCTTTTGCAATATACATGCCAGCATTTGCCACAATATTCTAGTTATGGTCTTGCTAGACCATAGATAGAAGTGATACAGCATCCTTGGTCCTGTTTGATATTCACCTACATACGTTCAAGGATTACATTAGCCCTATTAGCTTTTGAGAACTCATGATCGTGTATTGTCCCTGCATTGTAGGACACATCTTGTGTGACCCATATCTTCCTTTTTCCTTTTCTCTCTTAAGATACATGACCTTATAACATGTGGCCGTGTTAAAATGAAGGTTTTGCTCAAAAGAGCTCACCTTCTTAAGTGATGCAGGTCACTGTACAAGTGACCTGTACACCCATTCACCAATTTTTCTTAACCGAGTCGCTTCTCACGTCTCAACACAAATAATTCCAAAATCTTCCTCTCCAGAACTATTGTCCTTTGTCTTGCTTTATGTTTGTCTTATGTTTTAGTTTTTTTTACAAAAACTATGTAAATTAATGATAAACATATTTATTACTATTCTATTTTTTTAAAAAAACAGCTTTTCTCGGTTAACTGCTCACCTTTGCAATTTTCTCCCTTTGGAAATCCATAAGAGCCTGGTTTTAGCAACCTTCAGGGCATAACACAATATGCATTTATCTCATTTATATTGTGGTTTTTTTTACAATTTTTTTCTTGTAATCTCTTGGAAATGTCTAGTTGCCATGGCAACAGGGGCTGTAGAAATGACCACAATTTTCAATGTATCAATATTATTATTTAAGCATAAAAGCCAAGATTTTTCAGGTTTCATTTCACATGTCCACCTTGCATCTAAGTTTTCAAAAATGTTAGTGTCTCATTGGGTCAAGTTTTAAAAGAAGTATTCAAAGTACCTGCAAAACCCCATGCTTGTACCTGGCAGACTAGTTAACTTATTTGAATAATTATGCACTTGACTATCCTTCTTGTTTGGTTGCACATATTCAGGTTTTTCAGATTAATGCATATTATAAAAATTTAGTCCTGTTTGTCCTTAAATAATGTTATTTAGTCATTTGAAATGACTGGTTCTTAGGGAAAATGCAGATTTAAAAAACAACTAACAAATGATATATTGGGATGAAAAGAATTTCAAATGTAAATATTACTAAGATAATCCTCCTCCACCCTGCTTATCAGGTAAAAAGTGTAGGATTTCAGATAATATAAAATGTTCTTTCATTAGTTACAATGGTTTAATCTAAAATATAGTATCAGTGGAATGTTTATATGTCTTATGTTGGATATTGGTTGTAAAAGTTATAGTTATCTATAAAATAATATTAAAATGTTTTTTGTGTGCGACAGATCAGTTTTTATTATTTGTACATTATTTATATTTATAAACTCTTTATTTTGGTTCCAGAAACTTCAGGAAGAAAATATTAAATTTAAGCTCAAACTAGAAGATTTAAGGTATTAACATTCAATTGTATATGACTGATATTAAACATCTACGACAATAGGCTCACATTGCTATTTAAAAGACAGGACTATGCAGCACTTTAAAGACTAGCAAGATGGTTTATTAGGTGATGAGCGTTTGTAGGCCAGACGCACTTCCCCAAAAAGAGATCAAGAAAGAAATTTACAACTGGAATTCCTCCAGACCCGTGTTGCTGACTCTTTAAAAAAAAGCAATTCTATCATTTTATATGTTAACCGGTAACTTCTATGAGATAATGTTAAACATTATTTATTTATTTCAGAATCAGTTATATTGCTGATTCTGATTTAATCTCTCTTTCACGTGGTTTGAAATTCTAGCATTGATTCAATTCAGAATTATAGACGGGCATTTTGTCACTCTGCATTGCTCATTTCAGAGGAAAACAAAGTTGTAACTTCAAAAACCACATACACTATTGAATATGTATCTGAAAAACTGCTTGTGCGTGATTGCCAGTTAAATGGACAGAGGGAAGACTCATAAGGGAAGTTCTTATTGGAACATATTGGAAAATTTTCATTAATTTTTACTAGAAAATTCCATTTCAATGAAACTGATTTTTTTTGCAAAATGATATTTATTTTGATGAAATTTCCTGTGAAAACTAGTATTTCCAAAATAAACAAAATTTTCAATAATGAAAAAATTTTAATGAAAATTTTTTTCAAAATGAAATTTCTGTATAAATGTTTTTTCACTTTTTTATATATTTATGTATTTACATTTTTGCATCATTTCCTATCATGTCAGCACATAAAAGTGCCTTATTTCTAACTAAATTTCATTAATGTCTCTATCTTGGCCTATTTGATCTTTTTTGCAGAAGGTGGGGAGGAAGAAAGCTCCATCCCAGAGAAACAAATGTGGTCAGCACTCTACAGATGGGAGCACCAGTCACCCTGTCACCTAAATTGTTGGACAAATAGTAAAAAAAAAAAAACCAAAAAAAACCCCAGGTTCCAAAAAGGGATTCAAAAGGGAAGACATTGAGCAGATAACCCTTAACAGTGCCCACCGATGCAAGGAAGAATAAAGGGAGTTAGTGGATGTTGCTAGGAAATTCAGACCTGTGTCCCTGTTTGACTGATGGATAAATGCATTATATGGGAGTTATAATATGGGCCATACAATTTCATGCCCAGGGTACACCAGCCCAAACCATGAATATTCCCTTTTGCTTTATATTTCCTGACTGATGTGCTGTTTTGCAAATTGAGTCTGAAAGTGTAATTTGCACTTCAGAATAATTTCTAGAATTACATTAACATGTTTTATTTAAAGATCATCTTGTGGAATTGTTTGTATTATACTTGGCTTTGTAATATTTTGTTTGCTGGAAGTCAGTATCAACAACTTATAGAAGAAGGGAAGAGTGAATGTTTTGATGTAAGATGTGTCAGTCTTTTGAAGGCAAAAGTAATACAGCTGGAGAGGCAGGTAATAAATGACACATAGAAAGAGGGAACTAGTTGATATTTCAAATCTTTTTTTTCTCTCTTAAACTGTTAATGTGCTCGAATGTGGAAAGAGTACTTTTGTTCAAAAGTAGGTGTACAATGGTAGATTCCCCAGCATTTTGGTCTGTGCTTCTAGCACAAGCTAGAAGAAACTCCTGTTGTTATAGACTTGGGCTTCGTCTACACTGGCAGCTTCTTGTGCAAAAACTGTTTTGTGGAAGAGTTCTTGAGCAAAAAGTCTTCCACAAGAGCACGTCTACACTGGCATGTGCTTTTGTGTAAGAGATGTGCTTTTGCGCAAGAGCATCTATGGCAGTGTGGACGCTCTCTTGCGCAAGAAAGCTCTGATGGCCATTTTAGCCATAGGGGTTTCTTGCTCAAGAAATTCATGTTGCCTGTCTACACTGCCTCTTGCGCAAGAGCTCTTGTGCAAGAGGACTTATTCCTCGTGGGGAGAGGAATAACTCTTCCAGAAGAAGCCCTGTTTTCTGACGCTGTACGAGAACTTGGACAAGAACGTGCATGCGGTGTAGATACCCGGCAAGTTTTTGCGCAAGAACAGTTGTTCTTGCGCAAGAAGCCGCCAGTGTAGATGTACCCTTGTAGTACGCAGGAGAGTTGTAGTTGTGTCAATTCCAGGATATTAGAGCATCAAGGTAGGTGAGGCAATATTTTTCTATTTGGATCAACTTCTGTTAAGGAGTGACAAATTGTTAAATGTGTCTTGAAATCTTGTTTTACCAATAGGAGTTGATCTATCAAAATATTACCTCACCCATCATGATTATAGATTTAATAAAAATGTCTTCCTTTGCTGCTGAGAGTAATCCATTAATACTAAGGCGGTATAGTGTTGCCTATCTGTTATACATTTGGGCTGTGTCTACAGTGGTGCGATCTTGCGCAAAATCAGCTGCTTTTGCGCTAAATCTTGCTGCCTGTCTACACTGGCCAGGAGTTCTTGCGCAAGAACACTGACATTCTAATGTATGAAATCAGTGCTTCTTTCACAAGAACTATGATGTTCCCGCTCAGGAATAAGTCCTCTTGTGTGACTGTTCTTACGCAAGAGGCCAGTGTAGACAGGCAACATGAATTTCTTGAGCAAGAAACCCCTATGGCTAAAATGGCCATCAGAGCTTTCTTGCGCAAGAGAGCGTCCACACTGCCATAGATGCTCTTGCGCAAAAGCACATCTCTTACACAAAAGCACATGCCAGTGTAGACGTGCTCTTGTGGAAGACTTTTTGCTCAAGAACTCTTCCACAAAACAGTTTTTGCACAAGAAGCTGCCAGTGTAGACGAAGCCCAAGTCTATAACAACAGGAGTTTCTTCTAGCTTGTGCTAGAAGCACAGACCAAAATGCTGGGGAATCTACCATTGTACACCTACTTTTGAACAAAAGTACTCTTTCCACATTCGAGCACATTAACAGTTTAAGAGAGAAAAAAAAGATTTGAAATATCAACTAGTTCCCTCTTTCTATGTGTCATTTATTACCTGCCTCTCTGTGAAGAGATGACCCTGATATGGATCCTCGATCTGGAAAGGAATCCCCTCTGGACACAGTCTGATCCGTTCTTCGACAACACCGTCTGATCCAGTAGGCGGGTAATCCAATGAAGATGATAGGAAAAGAGAGTCCTGGTTTCAGTGACCAATGCAAACAGGAAAACCTTGTGGGTATTTACCACACAAGGGTAGCACAGTTCAAAAGTCCAGACCTCTGATTACATAGATGGTATCCAAGCTTCAGGCAAACAATACAGAGGAGCAACAAATGAGTAGATCCAAGGCTGGGGAATATCCAAGGACCCGAGCCCTTGATACCTCAGGGCTTTTATTGGCCCAGAGGCGGGAAAAGTATGCTAATGAACCTAGGTGTTGAGTGCAGCTTCCTAGGGGCTGTGTGCAGCGGTTTTGGTGCTGAGTGCACCTCTTTTGGTGCTGAGTGCACCAGATAGTAACGGGTGCACAGCCTGTTTGAGAGGGGTGCACAAGGTAGGACCGTGTGCAAATTAACAGTTTGAGCGGGAAAACCTCCATCATGTAGAGAAAAGGAACTGTCTCTTTCAAAATGGAACCCACTGAATCAAACTATAATATAGCCCCCTTTTCTAGGGTAACAGAGCTTTCTTGCGCAAGAAAGCGTCTACACTGGCACGGATGCCCTTGCGCAAAAGCACATCTCTTGTGCAAAGGCACATGCCAGTGTAGACGCTCTCTTCTGGAAGAGTTTTTGCACAAGACCTCTTCCGCAAAAGAGTTCTTGCACAAAATCATGCCAATGTAGACGCAGCCTTGTTCTTTTTTCATTGCTCATAACAGACTGTCCACTGACAATTGCAGCTCCAACATTTAGAAAAAGATATTTGAAGTGGATAAATTTGGGATTTTCCTGAGATTTTTCCCTCTTGGATTTCAATTAATCCTGCAAAGCCCCTAAGAAAATCTACTTGTGTAGGTATCCAAAATATTGAACAAATGTTTTATGATTTAAAGTAGTTCCAATTTCTAAGTAGATAAATAGTTTGTGGTAGTATTGTAGCAACATTGGTCCCAGAATATTAGAGAGACAAGGTGCATGAGGTAATATCTTTTATTGGACTAACTTCTGTTGCTGAGAGAAATAACAGTAGAACTACAAAGAGCTGAAGAATAAATACTTTTCTTTTTGTTACTAAAATAAGCTAGATATACTAAACATTTGAGAGATTGAACAGGAAGGTGCCATTTTTGCATAATATTTTGGAGTGAAACATGCAGAAGTTGAAAGTTGATCTCAAGCTGTCTGACAGCTACTTTCTATACCTTCTATAAATGTGAAAATGTTTAAAGTTCTTCTTCGAGATGTCCCCGTAGATGCTCTGTGCATGGTCTTGGTGCTGTCCTGGTACCTGGATCAGAGATTTTGAAGACGTCCCTGTGGGGGCCACATGAACTGGCACGTGCCATGCCAGGAGATACTGCGCACGCGTGGCCTCAGCCCTCTAGTTCCTTCTCACTGCTTTTGGCCTGAGACGGAGCTCTGTAGTTCTCTGCTTTTCTCCATGTTTCTCTAGCAGTTTGTAGTTATTAGGAATTATTGTTGTTACCTTTTGTTAGTTACTTAGTTATTGTTCGATTAAAAACAAAAATTCATCATGTCTGGTTCACCAGGCTTTGAACCCTGTGTCTCCTTGCAGGGAGGCAATCCCATTTCTGATGGACATTCACAATGCATCAGGTGTTTAGGGGAACATCATTCATCCCAGGATTGTGCCAAACTCAGGGTCAGAGACCTCCATTTGAAGTTCATCATTATGGAAAAGAAGCTGCACCCTGCCTTGGAACCAGGAGAACAACCTAGGGAGGTACTCCCAAACCCCCTTCAGGGCAAAAAGGTGCCAAAGAGAAGTTCCTCAGTGCTTCATCGTGAGCCGTCTTCCAAAAGGTCTCCATCCAAACAGAGGCCACGGGTTAGTACTTATTACATTCCAGGCATTGCGGCACTGTCAGCTGTGGCTGGTGCCGACTATAAAGGGTTCAAGCAGTGCCTCAAAGCCGCACCCGTACCTGTTATGGTCCTGATGACTACATCGGTACCACCACTTATATCATTGGTACCAACAACTGCAATGGTACTGACAATTGTGGCACCGGCGACATGTTCAACAGCACGGACAGTGCCTGGCCACTCTTTGGCACCATTGGCACTGGCCAGATTCGTGACACCGATCACATACTCAGTACCACTAAAGTAACAGCGGTCATTACCATCTGCACCAGCCATGTCGTTGGCACTGTATAGGCCAACACTGCAGACTGGCATCGATCCTCACAGCATCACTGCTATATATGCAAAATGTGGATCTCATGGTGACCTCAGCTCCTCAATCACCGCTTTTCTGTGCCGATGCATCACCAGTACTGACGACATCTCATGCACCGTCCCTGGTGCTGTTGCAATTCTCCAGTGATGAAGAGGACGGTGTGCAGGCATCCTTTTCTGTACACCATAGTCCTCCACTACATTACTACAAGCCACACTATGACCATCAGCCATTCCCCCATGGTATGGTCGCCACTGGATGTCTCCTCCCGTACTGCACAATGGCCTTATTGGAGCCCCTCGGGTTTGTACAGAAGACAACACAGTGTGCAGCGTAGTCCCTACAAACAGGTTAGTTTTTATACAACACACATGACTTCATCTGTGTAACATCCAGAATCTCAAATACCCCAGGTAATGGAGGAGTCCTCTCCTGATGTTTCCCCTCCTACTAATTCTTCATTTTTGCCGGATGAAGCCATGATGATGCTTCCACTGTTGGCTATGAACGGTTTTTGTGTGCTTTAATGAGCAATTTGAGGGTATGTCTACACTTGATTCCTCCTTCAAGGGAGGAATGCAAATGTAGACATCCAAAATTGCAAATGAAGCAGGGATTTAAATATCCTGTGCTTCATTTGCATAATTGCAGACTGCTACTTTTCCACAAT